CCACCACGCCAGTTGATGTCTCATCGGGTGTAATCCCAGACCAATTGGCTCATCCTCAACGCTGCGTGGTGAGAAGACCCTTGCCAGTAGCTGGACATCAGACAAGGAGGTCCCCCTAATAATATTTACTGCTCACTCCCTCACAACTGGAACAAGAACACCAATCCAATAAGGCTAAATTGATTGACTGGTTATATCTATGCACTACAACGTGGCTGATCAGATGCACGCACAGCACATAGGGAAGCAGTACCCGGGCATACTGGCCGTAGCGGCTCCATCCCATCAACTCCATACCTAGTAGTCTTCGTCCTGACGGCAGTCTCACGCAGTTGCAACGGAATTCTCGTCGCGTGGCATCCTTCCGGCTGGCCTCTGCGCTACGGCTGACCAGACGCACGGCCATGAGCCATCGCACAGAATTCCAGAAACGGCCAAGCCCTTCTGGAGTCGATGCAGCTAGTACTAGCACACGGCCCATCGCTGTGTCAGCCACCGCGCTCCCTGTCATTAAACATGCGGGAGAAAGAACCACCAAAACGGGGAGGCGTCGGGTCGGTGAGAGCTCTTTAACGTTTTGGACCCGGCTTGTGAAATTTGGGTTGTAGGTGAAGGGAGAGTGCAGCTCACGAGAGCCAGAGCATCCTTCTGGATGATGCCCTCCTGTGAGGATGTAGATGGGTTGGGTGGCGGGAGGGAGAATCAATCTGGCCAGCGCCCCGTCGTGTTCCCGATCTGGCAGGTTGCTGCACATCTTGTTCCTTCGCGGGTCATAACAAAATCAGTCTGCCTTAGGTAGCGGTGATGGCTGCACTCTGTTGCCAAAAAAAGAAGAATTCTACTCGACCGTGGTCCAGATCTTGGGTGTGGGTCACGCGTAACCAGCGCGTTCACGCATTTTCCTCATCGTGGCATTTTGCTAAGCCGCTTGATTGTCGATCCCGCTACACCGACATCCATGACACCTGCGGCATGAAGACGGGGAGGAGGGGGCTCCTAACAGAGCACGGAGCAGGCATGGAGAAATAGGGTTGTCCCTCTTCTGGATATGGTGGTTATCAGTTGGAGGACCACAGTGGCGGATACACTTCATCTTCTGATTGCTTTTATCCTCTTTGCTGCCATACCAATGCCTTGTCTGACTGTGCTGCAACATGGTATGTGGGATGCCAAGATCATAGGGCTACGCTCTCAATTGGATCTGACCGGTTTCCACGCATTGCCGCATGTATGATTGACGATGATGGTTTCATGGCAGGTCTTGGCGGTTGAGGCTATGGGCTCATGATAGGGGCATTGCTCATAATTTCACATGGCTAATTGCTCGTATTGCCCAAAGGGTGGTGAGAAAATGGCCAGCGCAGAGGTCCTTTGTAGGGTAATTTCAAAATTCTTCACTCAGCTACAGACACGAGAGATACGATCTTAGATGGGCAGCGCACTGCGGCAAACAGGCATAGCGCTGGAAACCCTGGTTCAACCGAGCCTCGAGAGATTAATCTTGAGTGGTGAAGAGTAAATTTAACCATCCCGGCGGGGTTTAGCAGGGTCGCATTAGCTTTTCAGCCCTGTGGAGTGCTGCCAGGGCCGGCTTCAGGGGGCAGTCACAGCTAAAGCCGCCTATTGGGTAGCGAGGTGCCGCCTGGCGATCAGAGGCCACTTGGCTGCATTTCTGGGCTGCACTGCCCGCCACCCACATCCCGAGCCCTTCAGTCCTCCGCTATCCATTCCAACGGCCATGCGACTCCCGGGACTAATTCTCGTGAGGTAATGCGATGCTTCCTGATGCGCTGTTGGGCTAGTGGTTGATGATCACCATCGCTGCCTGAAATTAGGAGCCTACTCCCGCCAGACTGATACTCAGGGATGGCTCCCGAGGCAGGAGGCGAGACAGGCATCGGCATGAGCTTCACTTCCTTCGTCCACCACTCTCTGCTGTCCAGACGCACAACTATCAATGCGACAGAAGCCAAACCCCATGGCTTTCGCCCCGACCAGCTTGCCAATGTGTAACCTGCTAGAGGTCTCTCATTCCTTTAGTCATGACCCACTGCAAACAACTCACTCACGCACCCACAGAGCGCTCAGCTGAATGATGAGGCTCCACCCTCCACGGTGACTGATTCCATCGTCCGGTGGCTGTCACTCACTCTGTTGTTAACCCCATCACCCCTGATTTCTCACTCCTCTTGAGTGTCAAGTTTGCCTTCGAGGCTGACATGTTCTGAGCTCTTTCATGGTCACTGTCTTGGCATATTGATGAGTCTTGCCCGCCCCTGGTGCAGGAGTCATCAGCAATCATGGGAGGGCAGACACGAGCAACACGGCCTGGCAGGGATGGCCGCTCATCTCCTCCTTCGGGAAATTCTCATTGCGCTACTGCAGTCTCAAACCACAGACTAATGCAGAATGGTAGGGCAGCCCATGGACGCTCCTCTGAGCGCTTTGCGTCCAGGTTCCCTGCAGCCACGCTAACACAAGGCAGACTCTTCCTCGTCGGTTGTTGTGGTTCACTGACAGGCAGGCAGAACAGGCCTGGCTTCTGATTGACTTCGTCTGGCTCGGTGACATACAGCTGGGACTGCATATATGAAGAGCTCGGTATCCCCCACCTCGTCCCGAGATCTCTCCTGTCGATATCCCCATCATCCTCTTTCCTTCCTCTCTTCTTTAAGCACGGGGTGGCTGTTCATTCTTTCTTTCTCTTCACCCTTCGACTTAATACTGCAACTTGGTCTTCCTTCTGACCAACCGCTTACACCATGGTCCGCCTTATTCACGCCCTTGCCCTGGCAAGGTTCGCTCTCGCCTTCGAGTTCGAGGGCAAGGATATTCCTGCCGGCGTCCAGGAAGACCTCCTCCCCCGGGGCGTCGCAAACTTCCCTCCCCTTCTAGAGAACCGCCAGTCCAGCTGCGAGGTTGGCGAGAAGACATGTGACACCAACTACTGCATCTCCATCACCAACACCTGCTGCGGCGACGGAAACGGCGCCTCCTGCAAGGCCGGCTACGTCTGCCAGTCCAACGGCTGCTGCCCCGTCGGCAAGACCTGCACTGGCACCGCCACCTGCGACACCGGAAAGAAGAAGTGCGGCGACTTCTGCATCCCCAGCACCGGCATCTGCTGCGGCGACGGCGCCGGCACATACTGCAACGCCGGCCAGACCTGCACGTCCGACGGACGCTGCCGCACCGGCTCCTCTGGGTCTTCGTCTTCGTCTTCCACCTCCGCCCGCGCGACTGCCTTCGCCACAACTTCCGCTTCGGCGACCCTCCTCGCTGCGTCAACCCGCACCAGCTCCTCCTCTTCGACTACCTCCACTGCGCTGGCAACCAGCATTGGCAATTCCAATCTGTGCAAGCGCAAGAAGGGTGGTGGCAGCAGCCACAGCAGCGGCGGCGGCAGCGACGATGACGACTGCAATGCTGCCGGCACCCTCGCGGTCCCATCCATCGTCGCCGGGCTCGTCCTGCTCGTCCCGGTCCTCTTCCTGTAAAAGCCTTGCCGACGCACGCAATGTTCACATCTTCTCCGCCAATGACCCGACTCAATGGCCCCCTCTCACGCATCTCGGCTCTCCAGTGGGCCCTGAGCGTTTATGACCGAAAAATAAGAACCACGCCTTTTTCATATGTCCCTATCGAGCAATGGACGCTTCGATTTGTTAGCTTATGGTGGAAAGATGGGCGGGGTGGCATCCAAGTTGCCTGTCTCTAATTTACCGTTTTGATGGGATTATGTCCCTTTTCTGTTTCGTGTCCAATCTTATAGACTGTCACCCGGAGGAAACAAGCATGTCAATTATTAACATCTTTCTTCCTCAAGCATATTTGGGAATCACATGATGCGCTGTTTCGATAGCCCTCAGATACTATACCTAGTAATACAATGCCCTTCCAGATAAGGGTTCAATTGAGCATCTTCTTGTGCAAATATTTCAGCGGCGATGTGACTTCCGACGTGATTTCTTGACGTGGAGAACCGTAGCGGGCGGTGGAATAGAAAGCCCGCGATGTCGGTTGAAGAGTGGACGGGGGATACTTGGAGCAATCACTCTTGACAGCCGAGCAAAGCCATATTGACGATTTGCCCTTTGCTCAGATGGCTTGAATGACTGCGCTTGTGCCATGGGTGCTGGTGATGGGACGATGAGCTTAGAATCAATTCTGTAGCTAAAGACAATGGAAAATGCTATAATTCAATCATCGTAAGATTCATGTGAAGATAATTGTCACTTGACTGAACGGGAAATACAGAATTTATAGCCAAGTTGCTCTGCTCAATAACGACGCGACGTGGGTGAGTGTGGTTTGCTTCAGTGTGGCCGGAGTAGGCCGCCGACAAAGACCAAATAGCAGAGACTGATGAGAGGGAATTTACATGGTTGAGGTTATAGCACCACGCTGGGCGTCAAGTAACCTATGGTTCTAATTTGGTTGAATGATTGAGGAGTGTTCAGACAAGAGCATACCGGGAGATGGTAGAAGTCGGACAGTCACTGGCAAGTGCCACAGGTACGGGAAGAATGACTTTGTTTTAAGTTTATCTTTCTGGGCTCTTGGGAATACGCCGGTTGTGGCTTTAGAGATTTCAGCAAGCACGCAAATTGTTGTTGTGCTCTCTTTAAGGTCTAGAAGGCGCAGGGTAGGTTTTGAGGATCTCGGAACTTTAACCTTAAGGTTGTTTATTTATGACTGGCCAACGAACGTTCATTTTGCCACTTGATTGTTCTATTCTGGTCTATAGATTCGTTTGAAGAACCTCTGTGATCAAGGCTGGTGTGATTGGACGGTGTTTATGTTCTTGGTCAATGTTCAAGATCCTTCAATGTGAAAAGTCGGTCGGTCGGAGAGATCGTGCGTCGGAGTAATAACTACCGCATATTTCGGTGTAGTGCATCGACCCACCAAAATGTCTGCGACGCCCTCCGTTGCGACTTTGCAGATGCTGCCCCACGATGGAATTACATAAATTGAGATTGGACAGCTTCTTTTTCTCCTCAGCGCCAGACAAAAACCCCATCAATCTCCCCGTACAATACCCCAATTAGCAGGAACCGTAAAGTCTCGTCATGACCGCCAACCAAGCTGTCGTCCGGCATGCGCGCCGCGAAGGTGAGGGGCCATGAAAGCTCAGTCGCCGAAGATCGGAACTGACCTGCCAAACAACAGAAGCGCAAATCATCCTTGATATGATCCAGGAGCTGGCCGACTACGAACGTGAGTCCGACGCCGTCAAGGCAACGGTCCAGACGATCCAGGACACGGTCGCCTTCGCTCCGGATGACGCCACCAGTGACAGCCCCTCGGTGCCTGTAACGGAACCCACATCGCCTACTCGGCCTTCGCGCTGCCTCCTGCTGTTCACACCAGAAGGCGAAGCTGCAGGCATGGCGCTCTATTTCTACAACTACAGCACCTGGCGGTCCAAGGCTGGCATCTACCTCGAGGATCTGTTCGTCCGCCCCCAGTATCGCGGTAAGGGATATGGCAAGCGGCTGTTGGTGGAGCTGAGCAGACAGGTGCTGGCCATGGACGGCGGGAGGCTGGAGTGGGTTGTGCTCAAGTGGAACGAGCCAAGCATCAAGTTCTATGAGAGCATCGGAGCAGTTGCTATGAACGACTGGGTGGGTATGCGTGTGGACGGAGAGGGCTTGAACAAGTTGGCCCGTTCACTAGACTGAGCGGAGTTGGCGGCTCGTACACTTTCTTGGGTAGAAAAAAAAAGGTTTAGAGGCATATAGAGAAATAGAATTACAGAATCATTCATCGCCGTCGTGATGTCGTCTGAGGTTTGGGTTGGGGCAGAGCCGAATCAAGGAATTGAAGTTGACGTTGGGTTGGCTTGGGGTATTTGTCGGCCTTGCCTCCCCACGTGATATCGTAGTTCAATGTTTGAGGGTCTTGCTCCATGACGGCGCTGTTTCTCCATATAGTCTCGTATGCGCGGCGGAACCATCGATCTGACCTAGTTGCCGAAGCCCTCTTTCGTAGAGTGAAGGGATTCCCCTCGTCTCGGGAGAGAGAGAAGCGTGACTCCCGGAGGCTGGAACGGTTTTCGATTGTAGTAGTCGGTTTCAGGGCGTATGCCTTCCAATCCCATTCAGAGTCTTCGGTAGGACCAGACAGAGGCTTCGCCTTTGGCCTGCGGGTAGGCAACTTCCACTGAGCAGTCTCCTGAGCACCGTTGGCCAAGTCTCGGAGCAGTTCCCATTGCGGCTTTGGCAGAGGGGGCAGTATCAGGTCGAGGGTTTTCTTCCAGATTTTGGCCTGGTTGGCCCTCACAACGTACTCCGAAGGAGGTTTTCCCCATGTATTCAATTTCGGCACATGCTGATTTTCTTGAGGTGCCTTGACACCGGAGAAGTCTGAAAGCGTGCTGGGGCCAATCCGTTCCTGCTGGCGTTTCTGGGACGTCGCAAACGTAGATAGCTTCTTTTTATCCAGCTTATCCATCCAGCCGTACTTGATTGTCTTCGTCCTCGACAGGGCAGAATCACTGCCATCGCCGGTGGGTTGTAGCTCAGCCACAGCTTTCGCAAGAGCTTCAGAGTCACTGGGGGCGTCCTTTGCCGAGAGCTTCGAGAGTAGACTGATCCGCGATGCGCCTGACCTGGCAAATCCCCTCAGCAACAGCCCGAGCATGGGGCCTGAGCCGCCATGGTTGGCATCCCGTAGCCGGCGCAAGGCATTCCTGCCTCGGGCAAGACGCTGCGGAACGTTGAGGTCCTTCTTGGTTCTGTCGACGCGGAATCGATGGGCAATTATAGTTCGAATAGAGTCGGAAAAGGCCGGGGGCAGGTAGGAAACTTCACGGAGGAGCTGTCGGTAGAGATGGAGTGGTTTGATGTTGGTGGGCGTGAGTGGCGGAGGCGCAGGCATTGTATCACAGCACAAAGGAGGAAACGAGCGTCAGGTACAAACACTTGAGACACGGCTAAAATGGAGCTTTGAAACAAATAGAAGGCTTTGCACTTGTTTGCGGAAGACTGGGTGTTATTTGGGCGGGTATGCAGATGCATTGAAGCTGAAGTTTGAAATTTTGGCACTGGTTGTGGTACGTACCGACAGGTACCTAAGGTATCGCCAGTGCCATGCGGCCTGGAAGTGCACGCATAAAGGTGGGTGGTACCTCAACTGCAAGCTTCGGATAAAGATCATACATCTTACGGCCATGCAAGCATATCCTCATTCGGATATGCACCTGATTCGATCCGTTCAATGCACCGATCTGTTGGTGACATGGCACATCTTTATTGCAGGTGGTGATGAGGGATTGCTGACATAAGCGGGGAACACCCAGCGCATTGTGCAGCGAGGCGCTACAGGTCTCATGGCGACCGTGAATCAGGGCCTCATCGCGGGTCACGCGTCACGTCACGAAAATCACGAAAAAGACACGTCGCCCTGCAACAATTAAATTGGCCGCCTCCCGAGACCCGTGTCGGGACGCGTATCAAGCCTCGGGCTCACTAATGCAGCTCATCCTCAGATCCGCCATGGAAGGGAAGGCGTGGTACGTTCACGCTTGAGGCTGGCGGGCTGTGATATGGACGTCGTACCGCACTATCGCAAGTTCTCTTTGTGAGGTAGTTTCGAGTTCCCTCCATCTTCCCGTCCGGTTGATTCCTTCACCTCGCCCCAGCTCTTCTTGCATACAAGCCTGGACTTGCAACTGGCTTTCTTTCGGGTGTAATAAAACGAGTTCTTTTTTTCTTTCGTGCACCATTGAGAGGGTTTGAGACACGGCTCCAGGAACAAAGGCAGGTGTTCTCAGGTTAATTACTTGGCTGCAGAAGCGGAGACTCTATTCCCCTCGGCTCTACTACCTTACCTCACTTGCACTACTCCATCTCCGAATCGCTCAAGTACCTTATTCCCTGTTCCACGACTGACTGGGATCCAACAAGCAGAGAGCCCACGACTCTCGATTAAAATCAATCAATCACCTGCATACTTTTATCCCACTTTCTGTTACCACCTCGACGCCGCTCCACTACCACCAACGCCTCTCACACCACCCGGTCGCTACTGCTGCAACCCATTTCCGCGCGCCTAGTACAATAATTAATTAGTTCCACGCACCACTCTCAACTTGGCCCTTCCCCCATCATTCCCTCTTCCCTCCCCTCCGGGTCTTCACAACTCTTCCTCGACCACCTTATTTTCCACACTCGCTTTTGCCTACCCCAGATTCTCGCCCCTGCCTGAAGAATCTGACCCCGAGCATCCCACGAAGGTACCCGGTTGGCAACCTCGCCCTTGGCAACCACCATCCTGGCGGGTGTGACAGACATCTTGTTGGCCCTTGGCGGCCCTTGACGATTCAGATTCCACCAACTTCCCGCGCAAGTCGTCTTGCGACTCGGAACCTAATTGCGACTCCAGCATGCCATCAGCTTCGCAATCTTCTCAACAATCCTTCACCATGAGCCAGCAATCCCAGCAGGGGCTGCAGGGCTCCTTCCACCGCGGATTTGGCGGTAGCGCCGTAATGGATTCGCCCATCTATTCAGTATGTCACAGCTTCGCGATGGGAAGAGACTTCTTCAGTCAGGCTAACCAGTTATTTTCTCCTCTCTAGGCCTCGTACTCGGGCGTCGACGTTTACGAAATGGAGGTCAATGGCATCGCTGTCATGCGCAGGAGAAACGACTCATGGCTCAATGCGACGCAGATTCTGAAAGTCGCCGGTGTAGATAAGGGCAAGCGCACAAAAATCCTCGAAAAGGAGATCCAGACGGGCGAGCACGAAAAAGTTCAGGGCGGATACGGCAAATACCAGGGCACTTGGATCAAATTTGACCGAGGAGTCGAAGTTTGCCGCCAGTACGGAGTCGAGGAGCTATTACGGCCACTTTTGACCTACGATATGGGGCAGGATGGTGGTGTCGCCGGTCGAGGCGACCTCAACACGCCGACCAAGGAGCAGGCCATGGCTGCTCAACGCAAGCGACTTTACAATTCGAACGCCGATGGCCGATCCAGCGGACTCTCGGGCACTTTCTTCAAGAGTATTTCCACCACCGCTTCCCATGCAGTTGCGGCAATCAGCAAGGCTAGATTCGACTCTCCCGGACCTAGGAGCCGAAATGGGCCTACGAGAGCTCCAAGCTTCAACCGTCAAGCATCAGGGCACGATGATTTCCCTGGAAATTCCCAGCAGAGCTACGCGTCTGATTACGGTCAGCAACCAGACTTGAGTTTTTCGGCACAGCAACAACCCTCTTCCCAAGGCGCCCTTACCGAGCCCGAACCCCCCCGAAAGCGCCAACGCACAGCCATGACACCTAGTGAAAGTTTTGGTGGTATTGCTAGTTACGGGCCGACTCTCGACATGTACGCCAACGCAAGCGCATTCCCCGGATCTCCCACCGAACCTAACGAATCATTCGTATATAATGGTATCAACCAGAGTCCCAACGAGGATCTTGGCGGTCCTCTCGCTCCTTTGCCCATGGACCACACGCCCGAAACCACACACAAGCGCAGCCTTCTTATGGACTTGTTTATGGACGAGGGTGCGCCAGATATCACTCGATATGAGGTTCTCCAAACTTTTACCCCCCAGGAACTCGATATGCCAATCGACGCGCATTGCCACACAGCCTTGCATTGGGCTGCCACCCTGTCCCGCATGCCCCTTTTACGCGCCCTCATCTCATGCGGAGCTTCTGCATATCGAGTGAATACCTCGGGCGAGACAGCGCTAATGCGGGCCTGCCTAGTCACCAATTCCATGGATCATGGGTCTTTCCCTGACCTGCTTGAGGTTTTGGGCGGTACCGTAGAGTCTCGCGATCATAAGGGACGCACAGTTCTTCATCACATTGCTGTGACCAGCGCAGTCAAGGGGCGCAGTTCGGCAAGCAGGTACTACCTGGAAAGTCTGCTCGAGTGGGTTGTGCGCCAGGGAAGTGTGCCCAACAGCCAAGCCAATGGCAACGTCCCCTCAAGCTCGCAAACGGCTACCCCGAAGATGGGCATCGCGCGGTTCATGAGCGAAATAGTTAACGCCCAAGATAGCGCTGGAGACACCGCCCTGAATATCTCGGCGAGAATAGGCAATCGCAGCATAGTGTCACAACTGCTCGAAGTGGGCGCAGACCCCGAGATTGCCAACCGAGCTGGCCTGCGACCGCTTGACTTCGGCATCGGTGGAGAGAACCCAGAGGAGAAGACAGCGGTGGAGCAGTCTGATACGAACGGCGCAGTCGGATCTGGCCAGCGAAATAAGGAGAGCAGCGATGAGATTATTACTTGTAAGTACTCTCTTCTGCTGCCTATTGTAGGGGACCTTCTGACTGACTTCCAAACAGCTATTACCCACCTGTTGACGGAGACAAGCACCTCATTCCAGCAGGAAATTAAAGCTAAACAACAATCTGTGGATTCCATTCACTCAACACTCCGAACGACTTCGACACAATTAGGTGAGGCCAGAAAGACTGTGGAGCAGCTCTCTGCCACTTTGAAAAAGCAGCAGGTTGCCCGTCAGATCATCACCAACTTGGCTAGTACTCGCCAGGATGATAAGATTCGTCTCATGCAAGAACAAGCTGGATCCAACCCCCTCGCATCTTGGGAAACAGAGCTCTCTACCGTTCTGGAATCTCCAGCCGAGGCTTCGATCGGGTTCCTCCCGTCTTCCATTGTCCTGCGCACTCGCATTAAGGCTCTGGAGAGTCGCGCTGATGCAACGAGGCAAATGGTTCAAAAGCTGAAAGGGCGAAGTCGAGACATTGAGTTCAAGTATCGGCGAGTCATCTCAGTCTGCACAGGTGTGGCCGAAGAGGAGGTTGACTCCGCAGTGGACGGTCTGCTGAAGGCTGCCGAGAGCGAGAGCGACGAGCTGGACCCGACCAGAGTAAGACGCTTCCTCGGTGGCGTCGAGGGCGTCGTGCATTAGTAATGCCACGACGATTGGGGTAGCTGTTTATTTCTTTACCTTCTAGCATTGCTTTGCATTACCTGTTACTCTTCTTCATTAGGTTTCGAAGCCTGTATATATACCATCTGAATATGTGGGATTGATGGACACGGCTAGATGTTTCAAAGACGTCGTCATCCCGAGTAAGGCCCCTTTACAACTAAGGTAGCTTAGGGCGAGGCGAGGTGGATTGGGATTTTATGTTTTTTTTGGGCGTTTTTTGGGGGCATATGGTGTTCTTTCTTTTCTTCGATCCTCGGGCGGTCAATACCCAAAGTCTCGCTGTCCGTATTGTTTGGGCGGATTCGCATATTAATGTATGAAACGACTTGAATTGCAGTTTCAAGATTTCGACGTGCAGAGATATTTTGCTCTACAATGGTGATTGCTCACAGTGTCATGCGTGCCGAGGTCCAATTAGGTATGATATATTGCCTAGAGTAGGCTGTCTCTTCAGGGAAACTCTGTTAATTCAACGCTCTCGAGGTGACCGGTGTCCATCACGGTCTGCTTCGTCTCCTACGAATTCTAGCTATGCATCTGCTTAAACTCCAACAAATTGCTCAAAAGTTCACGACCCAGATAAGTGTTGTTGTTGTTGAAAAGGAAACAAATTCAAAGAGCTCTCTTCCTCTCTGTCTTCCCACCGCCCCATAAACTCAAAACGCCGTGCCATGCAAGAACCCTTGGATACATATGCTAGGATTAGTAGTTCATTGTGGTGCCGTCGCCTGCCACGTTAACCCCCCTTTCCCCCGGGCAGTTTGCTTTCTTTGTAAAAAGGATATTTCTGTAAGAAACGTTGGGCTGAAATACCCAACCGAAACCAAAGTCATGAGAAGAATAGGCGAAAGAAAAAAGACGCAGTATTAGGGATCATGTCGCCGTCGCACCATTCTGGTAGATGCCTTCCCAGCGCGCCTCAACGCCCCCGACCTTCTTCCTCAGATCGTCGATTTCCCCCGCCAGCTCGTCCTTGTTCCTGCTAAGAGCCGTGACCTCCTCGAAGCGACGGGATTTCGTGGCGGACTTGAGCATCTCGTCGACCATGAACCTCTGCTCTTCCAGCACGACCAGCCTCTCCCGCAGGTCCTTCTCCTCTGTTTCGAGAAGGCTTACTACGGTGCTTGTCCCGTCATCCGTCGTGCCCCCCTGGGAGACGGTTTCTGAATCGACGAGTTCTGAGTGGCGGAGGCCGGAGGGATTATGCTGGGATATTCGTGAAATAGTAGATTGTGTAGATAGGGATGATCGCGAGCGGAGGACCTGCGGTAGGCTCTTCAAAGGAAGCATGTTGGTGTGGAGGAACCCGCTCGCGTAAGTATACACAGCCATCTGCAGTTTCCTCTGCGACGGGCTGTCGCTCGGTAGATCCCTCATCCTCTTGGCAGCCAGTCCGTATTTCCCAAAGCTGTCCACCAGCCGTTTGCGGATCTTGGCAGCCTCCTGGATCTGCGCATGCGTGGCCGGAGGCTTGCTCAGGTCTACCTCGCCAGTCTCGGACTTCTCTGGGTGGAGGGCGAGGAGTGTGCGGTGGAAGGAAGGGAGGAGCTGGCGGATTCCGCGCTCGAACTGGCGGAGTGTTTCGTAGGCCCGCTGGTCGGGTGGTTTCGAATGGATCGAGTCGCTGAACTCGCGCCCGGAGAAGATGGTGTGTTTGCATTCCCTGCACATGCGCACGTCTATGCTTAGTTTCCCCGGTGCTGCGACAGCTATGGGCTTCTCTGTGGAAACTGCGCCTGTTAGTTTTGCTAAGGAAGCATGTCTACTGGGGAGAAAAGACGTACGGCCAGCTGAATCGATGGCTACCTCTGAGGAGCACCCGGTCTGCAGATCAGCGCAGACAACCCTTCCGCATATTCGGCAATGGTGCCTCCTAAAAGTCCACGTCCCAAAGTCCTGTTGGCAAAACGGGCACTTGGGCACCGTATTGTCATCCTCCCATGTGACGACCGACTGCTCCAGGAGCTTTCTTTGGTTCTTTTGCCCAGACAATGTGGGCGATAATAATCCAGAATTCGCGGATACCTTCTCTGGCGCGCTTTCAAGCAGCCGTACTAATTTCGCCAGTCGCTTCTCCAGCCTTGAGACTTCTAGGTTATGTCGCTCTACTCGCTTCCTCCTCATGTCGGCAAACGTGGCAGTGTGGTCTATTACCAGTCCGCTGTGATCCTTGTACCCATCTCTCGACTTGTAGCATGTCTCACACACTCTTGCCCAGTACCCTCTGACTGGCTCATGGTTAGCGCTCCGACTCAGTTTCATCTGGTACATAGTATGTTCCTCGCAAAAGAGACGACCGCAATGGCGACAGTTGACGCTTCCCACAATCGCACCCAAGCTCCGCCCGCAGGCTGGGTCCGTACAGTAGTCATCGTGTGTGGTTCGCTGCCAGTGTTTCCGTGTAATCAAATCGTCTGGATCGATTGGGGCGGCCTCGACGGGAAACTTGGCGGACGATGCGGATACCGGTGGGGGGCTTGGCGTGGACTCGTTCGATTCGAAGACGTCGAGGCCACGCAGTTTCTGGTTGATGAGGGACAGTGGCTGGAACCGCTTCGCCTTGAGAACCTGCTTGTCGAACCATGTCTTCACCTCGTCCTGCTCCTCCTCGGGAAGTTCCTGGTGGTTGTCGTCGATGTGTCGATTGAGTTGTAAAAGCGTCAACTACGCCGGTTAGTGGAAGTGCTCACGATGGCCCAACGAACAATATGCCAAGACATACCATCTCCTCATTGCAAATGGGGCAGACCAGCGCCGATCCATTTGCTGCTGACCGCTTTGACTGCGCGCCCAGGCTGATGCTCGAGCCAATGTCCTGCCCAAGATCTGTGAGAGTCGCCGAGCCAGGCGGGGAAATCGAGGAAGACCCCAGGGAAACGGTGCTCTCGGAGGGCGCAAGAGGGCTGAGCGAACGAGGGGCGCCAGACGGAGGGGTCGGAGGAGCGAGGCCCTTACCGCTGCCCAAGATGCGGCCGCCACCGAGTTTGCGTCCGGACATCTCGTTGCGATCGGGAAGCACGAAGGGACGGGGAAAGTTGGAGGAGCATCAGCACCAGTTGCTGCGGCAGCGGCGGTGAGGCTGGGGGCGAGTTGAAATTGAACAGAGTAGAGTTATCGTCGGCTGGCCGGACTGCGCCCCCCTCGAGCTGTCTTTAACCTGTTCGTCTGGGCGGGAACTGGTGGGCAGGTAGGCGGTGCTGCACGGGAGGTTTTGTGTCGTAGCCGCTGGAGGGCTGCAGGCATGTTCCTCCGGGGTTTTGAATCAAGGCAGACGCAGCAGGGGGTTGGTTATAATTGGATGGAGGTGGACGGGAACGGGGTTCAGATGGGATGGTTTCCCGGCCGATGCTTGAGGCAGGCGATAGGGGGGAACCTACGAGTTCGGACTGTCTGCAGCGGGGGAGCAGGTACCGCCTTATCGGGCCGCCACAGCTGACGTTTTAGGCTTACATACACGCTGGCTGGGCTTATCTTATCTTAGCGTTGCTGCATGTGCAAGGTGCAAGGGTCGGTCCGGCATCATTTATCAGTTGTCTCAACCCAACTGAACCCCGTGGAATGCAATGACAAGTGATCTCTCTCAGGTCTCCATCATGGCGAAGAAGTTCCCCCAAGTCCAGCCCGGTGGCAGTCTGATTTTGGCATGGCAGATCAAGGGCAAGAAGGTTCTGGTTGTTGGAGGTGGTGAGGTGAGTCGGACCTGAGCTGCAGCAGGACAAAGAATATCGTGGATACTGACATTGCGGTCTGGAATAGGTCGCTGCTGGGAGGATCCTCAACTGCCTCAATGCGGACGCCGCTGTCACCGTGGTGGCGCCCTCGACGGGTCTCAACGACGAAGTTCGCCACAGAATAGCTGAGAAGCAGGTTACCCACGTGGACCGTGTCTTCGAGCCTTCTGACCTCGACGGTGCCGAGATGGTCCTGGTCGCCGTCGACGATCCCGCTGCCTCGACCGTTATATGGAAGCTATGCAAGGAGAAGAAGATCCCGGCTAACATTGCGGATGTACCCCCTGAGTGTGACTTCTACTTTGGAAGCGTGCACCGGGATGGACCGCTACAGATCATGGTCAGCACCAACGGCAAAGGGCCGAGAATCGCTGCTCTGATCCGCAAGTTCATCGCCAAGTCGTTGCCCGAGAATTGTGGAAATGCTATCGAGAATATTGGCGAGCTCAGGGTCAAGTTGAGGAAGATCGCGCCGAACTCGGAGGACGGGTCGAAGCGGATGATATGGTGGGTGAAAATATAGTTCCCAGTCAATTAAGGCGAAACTGACAGTGATTAGGATGTCAAAAGTGAGCGACACATACAACTGGCAGGAGATGTGCGAATTAACCGAAGACGATATGGACAACCTGCTTCTCTTCTACCCGGCCAACAAGGTCCCCGACTTTGATATTCTTCGTGCTCTTCGTGGCGAGAAGAACACGGACGTCTCGAAACTGGATGTCTTTGACGGTTCTTTTGGGTTCAGCGTTGGTTCATAATGAGTCGGATGATTTGGGAAACTTGACCCAGTCAAGATGTTATTTGGCGTTTTATTATCCTATCAAGATACCAAATCATTGCTATTTTGAGTTTCTAGCGACAATTAGATTATGGGAGACGATAGATTGTTACACATGGTCAGTAATATCTTGTATTTTTCTTCTCAAGACTGACAATGGCATATTCCACGCCTTCACTCGGTCCCGGACGACTGAGCTGCCGTCGTCTTTATACTTCTTCACTCTATATCTTACCTGGAATCTGTATCACCACTTTAGAAAAGTGCTTCTGTTCCTCTAGCCTTTTGAAAGCGTCCTTTACGTCTGCAAGCGCAAAGACCTCGTCGTCGAGTGCTAGTTTGATGTCGTTGTCCTCAACAAATTTAACCATGCTTCTCATCATTTCCCTTGACCCTAGCAAAATACCCCTGACAACGCAAGCGACGAAGAGCACGGCCATCATCGGGGTTGGCTCAACATCTGCTTCGCCAATCATACCAATGACGGTTATCACACCATTTCGTCGCACAGCAGCCACCGATTGGGGCAGTGTGGCATTTCCACCCACGTCCACAACGATGTCGAACCCGCGGCCAGAAGGAGTCAGTTCTTTGGCAACAGCACCCCACGATGGCGTCTGGCGATAGTTGACAATGTGGCTCGCACCCAGAGCCTTGAGCCTCGAGCCTTTCTCCTCACTGCTTGTAGTAGCAACTACAGTAGCGCCAACCGCAACGGCAAATTGCAACGCGGCGACGCTCACGCCACCACTTCCCTGAACCAGGACCCAATCTCCCTTCTTGGCCTGTTTTCCTTCGAGGCCCATGAGTGAGTTCCACGCTGTGATTCCGGAGCAGCTCAGAGTAGACGCCTCTTCGAAGCTCATCCCATCCCCAAACTTGACCAGACAGCTCTCGGGGAAGATGCCATAAGTAGTCAATGTGCCATTCATTTCCTGACCCAACCCAGCACAGATGTGGTTCCACCCTGGGAGCTCGTCATCCCCTAAGGGAGGGGTAGCATCGTTTGGGAACTTGTCCGGGACCATGTGCGTGACGACTTTGTCGTTTGGTTGGAGGGTTTGAACTTGGCTTCCTACTTTGACCACGACTCCCGCGCCATCGGAACCTGGAATGACACCTGGGGGTGCAACTAAACCGCCTTGGCCCTGGGGCAAGTGTGAGCCACAAGACTTGAGGTGCAACATTGGATGTAGAGATGGAGAAACTCGAAACTCACCTTTGCAACGACGAGGTCACGTTTGTTGAGAGAAGCAGCCCGAAGCTCCACCAAAACGTCCTTGGTTCCCAGTTCGGGGATGGGTCGTTGGTTCTGCAGAACGAGGCCGGAAAGGTCACTCACCTGGGAGGTAGTGCTCCAGCTAACTGCGGTTGGTGCCATTATGATCGTTTGGATAGATGTTGGTCTGCAATCAGGAGGAAATATCCCATTCCGGTCATGAGAACCACTCCCTATTTATGACTAGAGAACTGATGCCAATCCCCATATTCATGACATTGAGCCGTTACGATAGTGGGTAATGATGCACCCACCCCGGCCAACTTGGCCGAACGCAACCCCTCTTGCCCCTCTATTCCTTCATCTTTACCCACGGCCCATGATACCCAAGTGTATGAAAGGATTGAGTGTCATCAAAATAAACGTGGGGGGGTGATATGGGCTGTAGTTTAATGCCCTTAGCCTCTCTAAAGAACCTTACGTAGCCGAACTGGCGTCATTTGGTTGACAGCAAAGACCTCAACAATATGTAATAATGAGCTGTAATATGTTATCTTTCATAGATGCGATCTTCTGGTATGCGTAGGCTGGTCTGATGTCAGAATGAAGGGCCGGCAGACTTGGTATCGTGGCATGTAGCTGACAAATCAAGCCTTCAAGATCCTCAGCTTAAAAATGCTGCCCGCTGGGAGGATGGCACCCAATGATTGAAGTTTGGACAGGGTAGGGTGCAGGCCAAGAACATTTCAACGTTGGATATTGATTGTCTCAGATCTGGCTTAGTCATCACCAATTTGGATGATGTCGTCACATGTTGAAAGGTATCACACCTTCCATTGCTACCTACCTAGTAATGAACAAATGTATTATTGCAATTAATTTTAAAGTGCTCAATACGGAGAGAAGATTAAGCTCTCTAATTAAGGCCTCATTAATGAATTTGCTGTAGCTAGAAGGAAACTTGGGTTGTGTAGTGACTTGACATAGGTCTGCTCTGAAAACTCCAAGTGCTAGAGCACCAAAAGTCGCGTCCCGGCGCGTCTCCCCCACCAACCAGCATCCACCTCCAATTCTACTCTCCAACACAGCAAATTCCAACCCCTACCAAAACACCAGAAACGCCCCAAATACACACCGAGGGCTCCATAATGCCCATGAGCCGCCATGTCCCGACGTAGCGCCCGAATATCGAGCGTCTCGCAAGCCTCCAGCGCCTTCCAAAGCTCCAACGCCGCCGACACCGACGCCGACGCCGCGCCGCCCTTCTTCAACACCACCTTCTCCACCCACTCCGTCTCGCCGCTCTACGTTGGGCCTGGCGGCCTGACCCCGGTTCGCCTCGAGCTCCTCGGCCGCCGCCTGCGCGATGTTCTCGTTGGGGATGTCGTGCGCGGGATCCAGATCGGGCTGGAATCGTCTCTGACGCCCGGTGGTCAGGTCGGGCCTCTGCGGTCGGTCAAGCTGCAGTGGTTCGACGCCAAGGCAGTCCTGGGGAGCGCGACCGATTTCCAGGGGGAGGGAAGTGCGTGGGAGGATCTGTCGGACGAGGAGAAGCGAGGGCTGTGGATCCAGATACGGCATGAGAATGCGGCCTACGTTGCCATCTTGATGCCGGGATCAGCTGGGCAAGGGGAGCTAGGCAGGTCGTCTTGGGAGATGTACCCGGGCCAGGAGCAGACGGGCAAGAAGCTCGATAATGGCAACTTTCTCCGGCTGCCCTTGTTGCTGCTGCGCATGCCCGCTGCTCTGAAGACCGTGATCGGCGAGTGGCTGGCGACGACGTTTGACTGTCGGGTGAGCAGGCTTGCTCTGGGGACCAGGACGATCACGGCAGTGTGGGAGGATTGGATTCAGACGGTTGGGCTCTCACCACGAGGTCCGGACTTTGTCATCACGCTGGGCTTCAATGCACCTCTCCCAGACCCGAATCAGAGCGACGAAGAGGACGAAGGCAAGAAAACATCGACGCAATCGGGGCTTAGAACGATGGACATTATGATTCAACCGAAAGATCTACAAAGACTCGTCCGTGTGGGGAAAACACTCGAAAAGAAGAAGACGGACGCAGCATGGGAGAAGGACCCTCGCGAACGCCGGCGGCTTGCAGGACCCAACAACGACAACGGGTGGGCTTGGAGATTCGTGGAGGGGGCGCAGAGCCAGCCCTTTCTCGAGGCGCTGGCTACCTACATCGACCATCACCTGGCCCTCAACATCTTCCACCCTTCTGTCCGGGTAGAGCAGATATCGTGCGGCGGGTTCGTGCTGGGCCAGAGCCGGCTCAAGGTCGTCCAGCAGAGCGAGCTGACCGAGAAGCTATCCCAGGCAGCCTGGCTATTTGTCACCAGGCTCGGGAACCGTGTCCGCGGTGACCAAGCGCCCATGCTGTTCGGCTGAACAGGGGAGAAGGGAGAAAAAAAAATCCTACATTCTGATGACTTGTCGCCCGATGATACCGAATGTGCAACCTCGCGGAACACGGCAATGCATCATCTTGGCGTCACTAACTTGACTCGGTTGACTCGCGCGCAGAGGGATTCAATTACTACAACATGCCAGCCCCTCCCTTTGGTCAGAGCCTGGTTGCAAATGCAGTCATAGCACTGCCAGCGCAAAGTCGGTTGGGATGCAGTGCATGAAACATCAGCGCCGATCGTTTCACCGGCGTAAAGCCTTGCAGCATTCACGTCACGAAAGAAAGGGGGGAAATGGGTTAGGATAACTTAGACCACACGGGAAGATTGATAGAATATTCGAATATTCCAGTGGCGCAGCGTCTATTGATCCCTCACTTGAGCGGGACTCAGAAGAAGTGCCGGGGAGGGCAGGCCAGGCAACCAAGGGTCTGTGCTACGCATACGAAGACAAACGCTGGACGCGACAGAGATGATGTGGATGGGGGCAACTTCTGGCCCAGTCGTGTGACAATCTAGGGTCTAATTACGGCCTCTTTCGTGGAGCGAATGGGCGGAATGTCGGGGCAAGAGTTCTCCGCTGGAACAAACGGCATCGAAATGAAGGTGTGGGGGACGTGCCGATTTGCCCGGTGCGAGGGGATCTGCTGTGCTTTGCTGGGAGGATGTTGCTTTTGAGGAGTTGAGTTGCAGTATGCTGCTGCATGATGCGGTGATGGTGTATTGTGTGTGACAGACGGCACATAGGAAAGGCTTGGCGCCAGGACAATCAACTACAAGCATAGAACAGGCAGCACCAGAAGAGTTGCAGTGGTGATGCGCGGACGGCGGTTTTAGTGCGTCCACCCGGATGTTGTGAGCCGAACGAACAGACTGGTTGCTGGGTTCGGCTGTACCCGCGCTGCCACATGAATGACTGGCTGGATTATCTGGGTCTGGCAGTACACTTGTGCATGCTCGTGACACGGAGCAGACACTCCAAGGTTTTGGTCAATCCATCACCGGTTCTCGTGGGCATAGCTCGAGGTCGATGGTGGCCTCGGGAGTCTCAGTCTTGAGTCAGCTGCAAGGCACCGGCGCATAACTCAACACTGAGATCTCAAATTGAGCTGTGTACTCGATCTGTCTCGAATTTCCCATTGAGCCAAGCGCCGCAAATCACTTACGAAAGAGATGAGCGCGAGCTCCACTCGGCCCGGATATGCGGCTCGCCCTGCACGGCCTCTGAGGCCCATGCGGATTCTGTCTGCCATCTGATGCCCAAAGTTTCAGAAACCAGAGGGCGGTAATCAATGCCGCGGATGGGAAAAAACTGTCAGTCTAGCGTATACCCTGTCATCGCATCACCGAGGGCCTCGTTGCTGGTTGTATATAGAACATGCCATGTTGGTAGTATATATAGAGAATCTTGATCCCTACGCCCACCACGCCGCCGCCTTTTGGCAAAGCAATACCCAGTGAATGTGCACTTCACTCTGTTCTCGCTGCAAATCAAAGTGCAATTATACCTCCCAGAGGACAAAGAAGGTGCAGTTATTAGGTTTCACCCTGGCGGCACTGCTTCCCCCCACGACCCGAGTCGATCGGCATCTTTGTGCCGAGCACTGCCAGTCACTGCATATCAACTTACATATCAAATCAACCTCCTCTGAAGAAAAATCACCGGGGATTAAAAACCCTATATCAACTATCTCTACGGCCAATATCAGTCACCTGGCTGATCTTATACGTTGACTCACCAACTCCCTGGATGTCTGGCTCGCTCCTCTGTCACCGCGTGAGGACTAAGCGGAAATGAAGGTCATCGTCACAGGCGCCACGGGCACCGCCGGCCGGGGCATCACCAAGGCCTGCCTTGCTGACCCGCGGATCACAAAAGTGGTCATCCTCGCCCGCAGGGCCGTGGCGGGCGAGGTCGAGAGCCACCCCAAGACCGAGGTCATCATGCATCACGACTTCTCGCACTACCCGGACGAGTTGATGGAGAGGCTTGTGGGAGCCGAGGCTTGTCTATGGTGAGTTGACCATACTATTGACTTTTCTCGATGGTTTGCCATATCATTGCCCTTCTTTTTCGTTAGTTGTATCTCATCTTGATATGAAACGATGTTTGTTTGCGTAATGGTACATGTCGGAAATTTCAAGTGCCATACTAATACCATCTACAGGGCAGTTGGCGGCCAGTCCGACGAGCCCACGGATGACATATACAAGAGCCTCAAGGCCGACATCGACCTGACCCTCACGGGCGCCAAGGTCATGTGCACCCGCCTCGCGCCCAGGACGCCGCCCGGCCGCAAGTTCCGCTTCGTCCTGTGCAGCGGCGGTGGGAACAGTAATAGGGCCAGCCGTGAGCACCAGAGGAAGCCGCTGCTGTTCCTGTACGACTCGCGCAGGACCAGGAGGGGCGCCGTCGAGAGGGCGCTGTGCGACCTCGAGGAGGCGTACGGCGCGGGCCGGTTCGAGGTGCTCATCGCGCGGCCGGGCGGGCTGACGACGACGACGGGGCCGACGACGAAGGCTAACAGGGCGCCCAAGAGGTTGTTTGGGCCGCTGTCCCATGGGATCGGGACGCTGCAGCTGGGGAGGGCGATGGTGAGGTTGGCGGCGGAGGGGTGGAAGGATAAGATTGTTGAGAATGACGTGCTGTTGAAGATGTGAGGTGAGGCAGCGGGTGATACGTTGCCCTTCTTACCTGTTATGCCACTGGTGGAGCTGAGCGTTCGTTTTGTGTTTCTTTTGACTTTT